GAGGGGCCCAAGGAAGCTGCTTAGTCTTCATGGATCACCTCTTCCAAGCTGTGGTGGTTTTACTTGGGTGGGCAGCTGAGCTCTAACACAACCACTCTATCACTCTCCCTTCCTCAAAAGGAAAGGGGGAGAAAATACTATGCAAAGGGCTCAAAGGTTGAGAGAAGGACAGGGAGAGTGCTCAAAAACTATTGTGATGGGCAAAACAGACTCAGAGTAGGGAGATAGGGTGTAAAATTTATTGCCTATTACTAGCAAGCTAAAGAGGTGAGAAACAAAGTGAAGAAAGCCCAGAACACTTTCCCCCATCTACCATCTTCCTCCTCCCGAGCAGCACAGGGGAACAGGGGAATGGGGTCTGTGGTCAGTCTATAGAATTTTGTTTCTGACCTTCTTGGTCACTCTTCCCCTGCTCCAACGTGGGATCCCTCCCATGGGATCACATCCTTCCCAAACTGATCCTGTGTGGGCTTCCTACAGGCAGCAACTCTTCCAGAACTGCTTCAGATATGGGTCCATACCACGGGGTCCATCCCTCAGGAGCACACTGCTCCAACCTGGGTCCCCCACGGGCAGCAGCTCCTGCCAGGTCACCTGCTCCTGCGTGGGCTCCTCTCCATGGGCTACAGCTCTGGGCCAGAATCTACTGTAGTGGGGTTCCTCCACAGGCTGCAGCCTTCTTCAGTGCAGGTCCACCTGCTCCACCATGGTCTCCTTCATGGCCATTTCTCTAAGGAGGGAGCTGGTGCAAGGGATCTACAAGGTGCAACTGCAGACTTCTGTGGAGAAGTCTGATGTCAGGAGAAGTGATGCAAATCCTGGTGGGGCAATGACAGAAATAGTGGGGTTGGAAGGTGAGGAGCAAAGTTGTCCATAAAGGGTCAGACTTCTCCTACCGGTCCAGACCTCCTTAAGAGACACTCAGGGCTTGCTGTGTCTTAATAACCCCGAAGTATAGCTTCTGCAAAGTCCAACAACTTCAGCTCCTGAAAGGAGACTGATGAGTCAATTGGAGGTCATGATTACAGGTTGGCCAAGGCACTTTGGAGGTGGCTCTGAGGCTGAGAGAATGCTGGCTTTGGTTCATCAAGCACAAAGACCAAACCCAGCCAGCTCTGAGCAGAGATGTTCTGTCCCTCATGTGAGGCTCTGGGCTCTTCCTCAGACAGTGGGATGTGAGGTATGCAGTGGCAAGTGAAAGACAATGGTGTGATACCTTCTAGCCTCTGTCAGGAGGTGCAAAGAGGTGACGAGCCCCCATTGCTAATAGGACAACATGTCTCCTCCTAGGCCTTGGTGGCAGAGGGACCTGCAATAGCCAAGGGGACAAGACCTTGTTTTTCCTGGCTAAGTCTACTCTTGCCAGTGTCCTTGTCCATCTCCACCACTGGCTGTCCTATGACATCCCACACCCGTCCCAGTTTCCCTGCAGGCTGAAAACATGCATCTTGTTTTCCTACCTTGCTTAGCATTGCTGTGCCTTCACTGATGATTCATGTACCCTCTCCAGCTGTGTCTTGAAACACAAAGGTATGGACGGAGAACAGATTCCCTCCAGGTGACCTCTGACACTAAAGCCTTTTAGTAATGTATCTTCCCTCTCATGCCCTGTCTCTGTCATCCAAGTTTCAGTTTCTAGCAAGTTTTCTCTCACCATGATCAGGGTAAGTTTTCTGTGACGAAGGGAAGTTCCAACATCTCATAAACCATCCTTCACACAGGCATCCCAGCCTATCAGCTTTCCTGTGGCCAGTCAACTGACCAGACAAAAGGAACCTCTCCATGATCTTCCAAGCAATATTACCTTCCTGCAGGCTTTTCAGCTCCTCAGAGAGACACAACCAAGCCACATGCCTGCTCCCAGTCCCTTGCCCAGCCATGCTCCTACTGATGGTCTATCAGCTCCGGAGGCAAAAGTGACCCCAGCATTGCCTCCACAGCCAGACACTTCACTTTCATTATTAAAGTCCAGGAATGGGGGATTTGAGGATTAGGTGTTCAGGTTAAGGTGTAGGGATTAGACCTTGCCTTCCAGGTTAGTGTTTGGAAAGAGGCTATGGGGAAGACTTTGGTGTTCTGCTTTGTGAACCCATTCAGTGTTTAGGCTATGGGCTGGATTTTTGGTTATGGTTTCATTTCTGCCTGGGTGAGGGCTAGGGTTAAGGCAATTTAATGCTAGGAATTAAGGGCTGTGGATTATGGTGAGCAATGGGGTAAAAAACGGTAAGTGGTTGTGTCTGAGTGGTTATGGGCTTTGTCTTCAGGGTAAGGTTCGAGGTTGGTGATTACTACAGAGGATTCATTTCAGGATGACAGATAGCACTTAAGGGTAGGCCTAGGATTTCTGGTTACTTGTTAGAAATATTGTCAGGATCTAACATGAATTTATTCCCACTATGTGTTGCAGCAGCAGTAGCCTTACCCGAACCCCTCTCTCTTCTTCACAATCTTTCCTTTCTCTTAGCCAACTCCCTCCTAACTCCCCCAGATCTCCCACCTTTATTCTCCCAGCTTTTCCCTGGCCTCCCCAGAGGAGTCACCCTACTGGGGGCAGTTTTCTGAAGGTCTTTATGACCTCAGAGGCTCTGCCTCCCTGCTGTTGGCCAGCCAGGGGCTGGGACACAAGTGACCTCACAGCCAGCATCCACAGGACTACAAGGAGCTGTTGTGCTCAGGAGGCCTCTTTCTAGCACACCCAGGAGCAGTGTGTGCAGGGGATGCCCTGCACAATCCCTTAGATACTCTGCCTGCCAACCAGCTCATGCTTCAGAAGGCCTGCCACACATCCAGACTCATGTTTCCACATGCAGCCTTTAGATGACAAGGGCCCAGCCCAGCCCCTGCTCTGCTGGTCCTCCCTGACACTTGCAGGAGGCCAACCCAGCTCGGCCTCCCCAGCTCTCCACACCTCCCTGTCCTCTCCCCAGCCCAGTCCAGTAAATTCTTTTCTAAAAAGTTAGTAAGTTATTGTATTCTCCTAAGTCCTTCTCTCACTTCATTTTGTTTCAAAGTTGATTCCCCTGGAGGCCCAGGGATTTGTCAAGAGCTCCCTGTGCTGCTGAGCTGGGCTCCTGGGCTCCTGGGCCCAAGGGGAGCTCCTGGCAAGCGGGCAGCACTGCAGAGAGACAGCTCTGCCCAGGAGCAGCTCCTCTGAACAGCGCAGCAGGGCTGGGGACACTGCCTGCAGGGGACAAGGGTGGCTGAGAGAAAGGAGGGAGATGTTAAAGGCAGTGTGGAGGGGGGATGCTGAGAGCTCACAGTGGGAGAAATCTTCACAGGCCTGAACAGGGTAAGTCTCTGGCTGCAGGGCAACGCAGCTGTTGTTCCTGGTGCCATCTCCAGATTTGCTGGAAAATCCCTCAACCTATGGGAACTTTCAGGAGGACTCTCAGAGTTTCTTTGGATAAGAGAAGAATGAGAAGCTCCAGAGCAGGGATTACCTTGCCAAAGCTGTCACAGGGACAGGGGATGATGGTTTCTTCTTGTGGTTACAGCTGCATGCTGCGCAGGCAAGGTGCAAGCAGGGTGTACTGGGTCTGGCTGGGATGTTAACTTTCCCTGCAGCAGCCCATACACTGCTGTGCTCTGCACTTGTAGCTAGAACAGCAGTGCTATCACACCAGTGAGCAGTGCTGGCACAGCATCAGGACTCTCTCTAACACTCTTAGGGTGTGGGCAAAAAAAAGTGAGAAAAGGAACATCACCAGGGCAGCTGACTTAAACCAACCAAAGGAATATTCCATACCATATGATGTCACACTCAGCAATAAAAGGTGGAAAAAGGAAGAAGAAGGGAGGGGTGGGCTCTCGTGAAAATGTCAGTCCTCCTCCCAAACACCAGCTACGTGTGTTGAGTCTCTGCTTCAAGGATATGGTCAAGCATCACTCATTTGTGGGAAGTAGAGAGTAATTTCTTTCCTCTGCACTTCTACATGGCCTTTATTTTATTTTTTTTCCCTTTCCCTCTCCCTTTCCCCCTTTCCTTTTTTTTTTTTTCTTTAAATTGTTTAGATAATAATAGTATTATAATAGTATAATAATAGCACTTCCTTAATAATTATTCATTTGTTCATTTAATTAAATTATCCTTATCTCAATCCGTGAGTTTTTCTTTACTTTACTTCTTCTCCTCCTCATCTAAGGAGGGGGAGTGAGACAGCGGTTGTGGTGTTTAGCTGCCTAGCATAGTCAAACCACCACACAGGGGTGGCCAGGGCTGTGGTGCAGAGCAGGGTCCCTGCTGTGCCCCAGGAGCTGTGTGCTGGGGCAGGACCTCTGCTGCCTGCCAGACTCAGTGCTCAGCCTGCCCGAGGAGCTGCCCAGGGTTCTTCGGGGAGAAGCTGTGGATGGAAGGAGCCCCCTCCGCCTCCAGAGGCTGGTGCGTGGGGCAGGCAGCTCACAGTACCCACAGGGTATCTCTGGGTATGATTCTTGACAAGGAAGATCGACTCCAGAACTACCTGCAGGGAAAGTACTCTTGAGAGTCTGTGCTTTCACTTTTCTGCCCTGAAGAGCAGTGAGAGAAATGCTAATGGAGTTGTCAGGTTGTGTCAGTCAGTGAGGCTGTTATATTATTCTACTGAAAGAGACCTGTAGGTCTGTGTGGAGCCTCACAATTTTCCTCCACACAGTTTAACCTACATACTTCATTGTTTCCCAACATATTGTTAGATGTCCTGCTCAGCACCTAAAATACTGAGATACCTCTGGCCAGTGGGCACCTGAAATCCATCCCCCGTGGTTTTCAGCAGACGCTGTAGGGCAGTACTGACTCTGGCTGAGCCCACAGAGGATCTGTCTGGTCCCTCTACACCCTTAGGAAGTAAAACCGAGAGCTAGAGGCAGGAGAACTTGTTCCTCAAAAGGAAGTAGCAGTTTGTCCTCCTGAGGAGGTCTCGATGTAACATAATATATAGCTATAGGTATTGCACAGAGAAATCTCTCTAACTTGTTCCGTGTCTTTTCCACCACTGACAGCCATCCATGCCTTGAGGCTGCAAATGTCCAACAGCAGCTTCCCAACAGAGTTCATCCTCCTGCCATTCGCAGACACACACGAGCTGCAGCTCCTGCACTTCGGGCTCTTCCTGGGCATCTACCTGGCTGCCCTCCTGGGCAACGGCCTCATCTTCACCTCTGTAGCCTGCGACCACCGCCTTCACACCCCCATGTACTTCTTCCTCCTCAACCTCGCCCTCCTCGACCTGGGCACTATTAGCACCACTGTTCCCAAAGCCATGGCCAATTCCCTGTGGGACACAATGACCATTTCCTACACAGGTTGTGCTGCTCAGGTTTTTTTCTTTTTCTTTTTCCTTTCAGCAGAGTTTTCTCTTCTCACCATCATGGCCTATGACCGCTATGTTGCCATCTGCAAACCCCTGCACTACAGGACAATAATAGACAGCAGAACTTGTGTCAACATGGCAGCAGCTGCCTGGGGCAGTACTTTTCTCTATGCTGTGTTGCACACTGCCAATACATTTTCCCTCCCCCTCTGCCAAGGCAATGCCCTGGACCAGTTCTTCTGTGATATTCCCCAGATCCTCAAGCTCTCCTGTTCAGATGCCTACCTCAGAGAAGTTGGGCTTCTTATGCTTAGTGTCACTGTAGCATCGGGGTGTTTTGTTTTCCTTGTGCTGTCCTATGTGCAGATCTTCAGGGCTGTGATGAAGATACCCTCACAACAGGGACGGCACAAAGCCTTTTCCACATGCCTCCCTCACCTGGCTGTGGTCTCCCTGTTCATCAGCAGTGGCACATTTGCCTACCTGAAACCCCCCTCCATGTCCTCCTCCTCCCTGAATCTTTTGCTGGCAGTTCTGTACTCGGTGGTGCCTCCAGCAGTGAACCCCCTCATCTACAGCATGAGGAACCAGGAGCTCAAGGATGCAGTGTGGAAAGTGATCACTGGAGTGTGTCAGAAGCAATAAATGGCCTGTTTTCATCAGCATATCACTTATAATGTTACTCATTATATTCCCAAATGTTTGTTTTCTGTGAGTGTGACTTGCTGTTTTGTTTGGTTGGTTGGTTTTGCCTTACTTATGATTGTGTCTACAAAGGCACAAAGACATAACATTTTTCCTCCCCTTCATTTCAGTATATGCCTGCTTGAGTGACTCCAAAACTTGGTAGAAACAATGAGCCAGGCTCTCTGTATATTTAAATAAAAGAAAGGACCCTGCAGTGACTTTCTTGCCTGAGATCCTTCCTCAGACACCTGTGGTGGAACTGCAGAGGCACTTGGCTGTGTGCAGAGGTGGAGGGGAGAAGAGTCCTGGTACAGCAGCATTGCCAGGGAGCCTGAGGGCTTGGTCTGTTCTGAGGTGCTCTCTTTCACCTCCCACACTTTCCTTCAGAGCCCTTCTGTTGCTGTGAGTTCTGATTGCTCTTGTTGCTTGCAACCTGAGCAGCTGTGGGGAAGTCCTTTGTCCACAGGCCAGGGTCTCTAACACAACTGGCTCCGTACCAGCACCTCCAGCATGAAAGGGAATCTGGCACTGAGGGCAGTGCTTGAACGCTCAGCTCTTCTCCCACATCTCATCTCATGGTTATTGCAAAGGAATGGACTCAAAGGAGGCTCCTTGCTTAGCTTGTTTCTCTGTGGGCTCAGGGCAACGAGATCAGCTGATCACCAAGGATCAGCTTTTAGGCAGGAAGGGCTGATTTTGGAATTGCCAGCTGGTGTCTGGCACCCATAGAGATGGTGACTTCACTTGCCTGTATCCACAGCATGCAATAGGTGTGAAGGCGGGCAGGTGTATGTCTGGAGAGAAGTGGAAGTCACCAGGAGAGCCCAGGGGATTGGCAGGGATGTGTGTGCCAGGGAGTCAACAGGGCACGGAGCCCACAGAGCATGAACATGTCCAAGGTGGAGCCACCCAGAGGTAAGGTGCTAAACCTGGGCTGGAACAGGCAAAGGAGAGCTCTGCAACTGCAGGGAACACAGCAAGCACAGAGAAAGCAGTCTGCTGAATTAGTTGTTAAACCTCTGGCGAAATTTCAAAGACTAGATTGAATGAATCACCCCAAAATGTCTCTGACATTGGAAATGAGTTGGACTCAATGAGGCTTGTGTGTCTCTTCTACAAGGGGAAGGCGAGGAGGTGAGGTAATTTGCAGATGTCAGCAGCAGGGACACTGCCACTGCCCTCCACTTTTCCACTTGCTGCTTTGGGGCCATTCCAGCCTGGGCTGCTCTGCTGGGCTGGACTGGGCTGGGGAGAGGACGGGGAGGTGTGGAGAGCTGGGGAGGGTCTAGGCTGTGCTGGTCTCCTGGCAAAGACAGGGAAGAGCAGCAGAGCAGGGGCTGGGCTGGGCCCTCGTCCTCTGGACACCCTGGCAGATGCTGCCCCAGGACAACGGTCCCAGAGCAGCCCCTCACAACCACCTTTCCCAGCACTGGGCTCTTGGCCCAGCTCACAGAGGTGATTTGTTTCCACATGGAAGGACACCAAATGACTACATCAGGAATCCACATTTCCCTTGTCCATATGAGACTGCCCATAGTACTGGTGCAGTGAGATGAACCTGAGTGAACACAAGTGCCAGAAACTATTCAACTTGCAACCACTGTTCCCAGCACTGGGCCCCTTCTGCAGCTCACACAGATGGTTTCTTCCTCTGGATAAGGACACTAAATGACTACATTATGAGTTCATGTTTCCCTTGTCCATACGAGACTGCACTCTGTATGGGTGTGGTGAGATGAACCTGAGTAAATTCAAGTGCCATAAGCTGTTCCCTAAGGGTGCCATAAATGCCAGTGGGACAGAGAGAGTCTAAAGTTCACTTCCCATTGGAGGTATGGTCCCCTAGAATACCATCTGAATAAAGCAATCCTAGCTGTCATAACTGTAACACCAACTCCTCTGCAGAGTTTGCCTAAAATATATGTTTTCCCAAAGTATATATAAAGTTCTTGAATCACTTTTCCACACATGGGTGGGCATTTCCTTTAGGATGCAATGGTGTTGCTAAAGGCTGCATGAGGAAACGTGAGTCTGGACATGTAGAAGACCTTCTGAAGCATGAGCTGGTTGGCAGGCAGTGTACCCGAGGGACTGTGAAGGGAATGCACCTGGTGCTCCTGGGTAGGCTGGAAAGAGGCCTCATGATCACAACAGCTCCTTGCAGCCCTGTGGATGCTGGCTGTGAGGTCACTTGTGTCCCAGCCCCTGTCTGGACAACAGCAGGGAGGCAGAACCTCTGAGGTCACAAAGGCCTTCAGGAAGCTGCCCCCAACAGGGTGACACATTTGGGGAGGCCAGGGGAAATCTGGGTGAATAAAGGTGGGAAATTTGGGGGAGAGAAGAGGGACTTGGCTAACAGAAAGGTGAGAGGGGTTCAGACAAGGCTGTGCTGCTGCAACACTTACTAGGAAAACATCCGTGTCAAGCCCTGGCAATATTTCTAAGCAGTAACCGTAGGCCCTACCCCTACACCTAAATGCTATCCCTCTCTCTGCAAGGAGTCCACTACTAACCTCAAACCTCACCTGGCATTGGTTAGCCAAGTCCCAAACCCATAAGGCCTTACCGTACACTCTTAGCTCAATTCTCACCCTATTCCTCAGCCTTTCATCCTTAGCACTGAATTCCATGACATGATTCCTCAACAGAGCCCTGACGAAAATCCCAACAGATAACATAGTCTCTACACTACACACAGACTAGAAGCCAACGTAATAAACACAGGTCTCCCTCTAATACTCTGCCCAACCACTAACCCTGGAAGGCAAAATCTAATCCCTAAACCTTAACCTGAACACCTAAGCCCCAAATCCTGTATTCCTGTGGTCTAGTCACCTAACTGAAGCAGTTTGGCCTCATGAAGCTGAGCAGGGCATGAGAGGTCCTGCAGCAATCACTTGGTCTTAGAGGAGGCAGGTGAGGTGACATGGATGTGGTCAGCTCACAGGACTCAAAGAGGAGATGGGTGGGGATGTTCTGCTGAGGTCAGCTGTGTCTCAGGGTCTCAGGAGGCAGCAGGAGGCCCATGACTGTGCAGGTGTGTGTTGGGGCACATTCTCAAAGCTTGTTTGACTATTACTTGAACTCCACAGGCTGGAAATACTGCATTGAGCACTTTGGGGATCTTTCCAGCTCAGAGTAGGGTAAGCACATGCCCTGAGCCAAGCTGGAATACCTATGAGGATTCCCTTTGGTCCTGGAATCACCAGCGTGTGTGTCACCCAATGTGTCCTGTCAGGAAATGCATGGGTGTGCAGAGCTGGGCCATGATAGTGTGGTCCCTGTTGCTCTGGGATGTGTGTGTGTTTTGGGTTTGGTGCAAACACCTGGGCTTGTTTCTAACCTCCCACCTAAGCACAATTGAGGAATAGCTCACCCCCTGCCAAAACCCTCCTTGTTTTATCTCATCCATGGAAGACAGAGACAAAAAAAAAAAAAAAAAAAAAAAAAAAAAAAAAAAGAAGCTCTGAGCAGTTCTGTCAGGGTTTTCATCTGCTAGCAGCCCCAAAGCAGCAGCAGTGCCTTGCCATTGCCAGCATTGCCAGCTCATGGGTCTGCTGGTGCTTGTCTAGGCTCTGTTTTTACTTTGCAGGTGGGAAGTTGTACTGGGCTTACATGCAAAGGCTTTTGTAGTGGGGGGGTTGCAAGGGTAGTCTCTGTAAGGCGTCCGTAAGTTGCCCCTTGTTAGGGAAGTGCCAGTTCTAGTTGGCTCCAAAATAGACACGCTGCTGGCCAATGCTCAGCCAATGATTGATGCTGGTTGCACTTCTGTGAGAGCATTTTCAAGGAAGGGGAAAATGTGACATGAAGGAATAGCTGGGAGAGAAGAGTGAGAAAATGTGAGAGAAACAACCCCACAGACACCAAGGTCAGTAAAGAAAGAGGGTGAGGTGGTGCTCCAGGTGCTGGAGAAGAAGCTCCCCTGTGGTGCACCATGTTGGAGCAGATCTCCAAGCTGCAGCTGATGGAAGACCCCATGTAGGAGCAGGTAGATGTGGCCTGAAGGAAGCTGCAGCCCTTGGAGAGGCCCCTCAGGAGAAGACTCCACATCGGAACTGTGGAGAGCTCTAGGCAGCCTCTGGGGATGGGGCCTTTCTTCTGAAGACAAACTTATGTCAACTCTTTGACAGATGCTGCACTTGCAAGAACAGGACTCAGGATGGCATAGCCCTTCAGGAAGGAGCTACCTTTGGGATTCCCCCAAAGTGTGGAACTCCTGGCTGTGTCACAGCTTGAGTCACTGCACTGAATGCTGACCTAGGTCCCACCATGACAGATCCAACCTCATGCTTTCCCTACAGCCATTCCTCCCAGTCTTCCTGAACTACCATTGGTGCTGAAGACTCAAGCACACAGAGATAAAAGGGAGTGCAAGAATGCCACTGTTGTGCAAACTCAAGGACAATGATACATGTTAGCAAGTATACGGAACACGAGATGAGCACCAGCTCATCACAAGTACCAGATTCATGCTTAGTTGGTTTGAAAAGACTGAGCACGGGGCATTAGAAAACAAAACAAAACAAAACAAGACAAATCAATCAAACAAACAACAACAACAACAACAAAAAACATAACAGAAGTAGTTACATCTTCGCAGTGTGGACTCACCAGCAACAATCCTGCAGAATGACAACCCACCTGGCCACTGATGGCTTGGACAAGTGTACAGTTTGCTGTTTGAAGAACTGTCTCAAGGCCATGCTCAAAGATTCTGTGTGAAGAGAGATCAATCCAGTTGGGGTATAGTATCAGTGGCATTCCCCATGCCTCTGTACTGGATCCAGTTTGTTTACTATTTTGATGGATGATCTGAACGAGAAGAACAAGTGCACCCTCAGTACATTTGCAGATGATAACAAGTTAGCTGGGACAGTTGATCTTCTGGAGAATAGGAAAGCTTTGCAGAGGGATTTGGAAAGGCTAGATTGATGGACTGAGTCCAAACACATGACATTCAACAATGGTTAGTGTTGGGTCCTTCCCTTGAGTCATAACAACCCCATGCAGCAGCATCGGCTTGGGGAAGAATGACTGGAAAGCTGTCCAGCAGAAAAGCACCTGGGAGTGCTGGTTTACAGCCAGCTGAACATGAGCCAGTGGTGTAACCAGGTGGCCAAGGAGGCCAATGGCATCCTGGCTTGCATCAGAACCAGGGTGGCCAGCAGGATCAGGGAAGTGTCTGTTCCCTTTGTACGTGGCACAGAATTATAGAATGTTGGAAGGGACCTTAGCAATCATGTAGTTCCACCACAGCCCCACACACAACCCCATCATAGGCAGGGACATGTTCCAATAGCTCATATGTGCTTACGAGGTCACCGTCAGCTGAAGATCTGATAGGCCATGAGCAGGCCCATGGCAGGTGAATGGGCAGGTGAATGTTCTGTGATAACAGTGGTGCCTGCATAGCTGACAGGCCGAGAGCAAGGATGGCCTGTGCTAGACGTTGTGAGGACCCTGGTGCCTGAGAAGCTTGCGGGCCAGGTATAAGCACATGGCTAGTGTGGGTCTTTGGGAGCTTATGATGACATGTCAGATATGGCACCCCATGCTTGATTTCTCCTGAAATCCAACAGAAACCCGAGGCACCTGTCTACTGGTGCATCACACTACTTCATAGGGGAGTAGAAACCAAATAGGTGTCTATGTGGTGCTCAGGTCAGTGGTGCCTGTGGAGCTGACAGACCAGCAGCAGGCCCACAGCTCTTGTCAGAGCTTGTGACTTCACTGGTGCCTGAGAAGATGACAGGCAGGAAGGAGACCCATGCCTGGGGAATGTACTTGTGATACCACTCTTGGCTGAGAAGCCGACAGGGCAGGAGCAGGTGCATGGCCAGATAAGTTCTTGGGAGGTCACTGGAGCCTGACTACTTCCATGGCGAGTATGAATCAGCTGCACGGATATCAGAGAATCACAGAGTCATAGAATGGTTTGGGTTGTAGGAATTCTAGTGACCATGTAGTCCACATCCCTCTGCTACAGGCAGGGACACCTTCCATTAGGCAACATGTGCTTATGAGATCCTGGTCAGCTGAGGAGTTGATAGGCCAGGAGCAGTCCCCTGGCTTGTGGATGTCATTTGGATGCCAGTGGTGCCTGTGTAACTAACTGGCTGAGAGCAAACACGCCCTGTGCTAGATGCTGGGAGGACCCTGGTGCCTGAGAAGCCAGGAGGCCAGGAATAATCACATGGCTTGTGTGGGTCTGTGGGGAGGTCACTGGTGATCAAGTAGCTGATAGGTCAGGGCAAGGCCCACAGATTGTACAGTACCTGTGAGGTCACTGGTACCTGAGGAGGTGGCAGGGCTGGAACAGGCCAAGAATTGTGTAGGTGTTTGTGAGGTCATTGCTGTCTGAATATGGGCCAGGAGCAGGCCCATGGCAGGTGAAGATGCTATGGCATCACCTGGAGCTGTGTTGGGCAGAATCATGAAATAGCCCAAGTTGGAAAGAATCAAGGATCAGTGAGTCCAACTCCAGCCAGCGGACAACAAAATAAATTATATATGTATCTAAAAAACTATACAAACTGTAAATATATATTAAAAATATTAAAATATATAATGTACATATTCATAAAAACCAAACCTTTTACATATGTATAATACATGTAAAATTAATGTAATGAAAAATAAAATAAAATAAAATAAAATAAAATAAAATAAAATAAAATAAAATAAAATATATAATATAATTAATATAATATATTACACTGTAATATAACATAATACTGTATAATATACTGGAATACTTTATGTAATATAAATATATATCAAATAAAAATATAATCTATAATATAATATCGGTAATTATATATTATATAATATGAACTATATAATAATACATACAATATGTAAGAATAATATTTAATCTAATAAAATATATAAAAATATAATATAATAATGTATAAGTAATATATATATTGTATATATTCAGAAAAATGTGTGTTCTATTAAAAATATAATATATATATATGTGTGTATTTATATATATATATATAAATATACATATATACATATATACATATACATATATATATATATATATATATATATAGTAAACTATACGTCTGAGAGTATTGTCCCAACACTTCTTGGACTTTGCCAGGCTTGGAGCTGTGAGGAGGCTGGGAGGCACCGCAGGGCCATGCCTGGGCACGGGGCCAGGAGGAAACCACCGTCTTCCTGCCCGGGCGCCATGTCACGTGGGCTGCGGTTTGTGCACCTGCAGTGGCAGGCAGGCTCCAGCTCCCGACCCGCCGCGGGGAATAACGGCCCCTGGGTGACACGCTGAGAGCCAGGGAGACGCCTGAGGCTCTGGGCTGCAGCTCTGCTGCCAGGGCAGGCCCTGGACCAGCTCTGGCTGCTGCCGGGACCCCACAGGAGGCTCCCTGGGGAGGGACAGGACAGCCAGCACCCCCATCATGGGGCTCTGGCCCTGCCCAAGGGCCTTTCCCAGCTGCTGCTGCCAGCACAGCAGGGGCTGTAGCAGGGGCAGGGGCTGCTCCCTTCCCAGCCTGACACAGCCCTGCTGCAGGACCAGTCCCCTGGATCCCATGGCTCAAGAACAGCTGGACAATCGCACCTTGGGCTCTTGGATGCTACAGCTTAGGAGATGCTCCGTGCTCCCACAGCAGGCTGCAAGGGGTGTCAGAGCCATCTGCCCCCACACCCAGCCCTACCCCACGATGATGTCCCACCGCAGTGACGTGAGAGCCGCAGCGGAGCCGTCCCTCATATATGGTCATGAAGAGCACTGGAGAAGTTCATTGGAGAGCTGGGCTGCGTCGGAGGGGAGTTAAGTGCCGATAACGTCTAAAAAGGTGCCTGCTGCTTCAATTGGCTCCTCCTGCAGCTGGGACAGCATCTGCACAGATATATTGCCCTCCCATCATCACCATTTCACTGTGGGTCCCCAGGAGCTCCAGTAGCAGGGCCGTGCTGTCAGGGCAGGAGCCTCAGGATGGGGACAAAGGGACTCCTAACCCCTTGCGTGCTGTGGCTGTTCCTCTGGGTGCAGCCTTGCAGAGGTAAGTGCCAGCTTCTCTGTTCCGTAGCCTGGGGCCAGTGGGCAGCAGTGGGTCATGGGGATCCCTCTGGGAGTGAGGTTGCTTTGCAGGTACCACTGAAATGAGGGGTAGAATGTTCTGAGGCCCTCAGCCTGTTCCTGTCTGGATGGGAGAGTGTAATCCATTTCCACAGCTCCCATGTTTTTGGCAGCCCATGTCCAGTTGCATTTCTAGACACCTTGTCCTCAGGTACCCTTTTGGGACCCCTTGTTCCCCAGCACCAAACCTCTGGAGCTGGAGGAGGCCCAGGTGCTGACAGACAATGCCTGGGGTGTCCTGGAGATGTTGCGTGCTGCTCCCTGGCCCTGGGTTCTGGGTAGACCCTGATCCTAGGAGGGGAGGTTGTACCCCCAGACAAAAGGTGACTGGGGCTTCTGCACCAAAGGTGGCAGAGAGGTATCCTTCCTGGGAGGCCTGGCCAAGGTTAGAGGCTGGGCTGACAGCAGGAATGAGGAGAGGACTCAGGCTGGGGGGTACCTTGAGATTGACTCGGTGCCCCCTGTACAGACAGGGAGCCCTAGGTGTTTTGGTGCATTTTGGAGGAGCCTGGGGCAGGTGGGCCAGGGGAAAGTATTGGTCAAGGAACATGGGGCTGTTCAAGGGGTGCTGGACTGGGGAGGAACAGGAGCCTTGTGCAGGGCTGGGGGAGGTATGCAAGTGGGCATGGGCAGGGGCAGGGAGCCACTGGGGTGGGAGAAGATGCTGAGGGCTGTGGGGCAGCAGATGGCTGAGGAGGACTGGAGCTGGGCACTCCCAGCCCAGCGCAGCGCATGGGGACATCCCACTGCCCCAGGGACAGCCCATGGGAGCAGGGCTCCCACCTTGGGGTCTGTGACTGTGCCTGATCCAAGGACAATCTGAGACGCTCACTGTGGGGCTCAAAGCTCTCCTGACCGTTCCCCTGTTGATGTTTGAAGGGGCTGCAGAGGTGAGGCTGGCGGATGGCGGCAGTCGCTGTGCTGGAAGAGTGGAGGTGAAACAACAGGGCCAGTGGGGGACCGTGTGTGGTCTTTTGTGGGACAAGAAAGATGCTGCAGTGGTTTGCAAGCACCTGGGCTGTGGGGTTGCTCTTGGAGCTCCTCAGTATGGACACTTTGGGCCAGGATCTGGGCCCATTTGGATGTTTGCTGTTGATTGTCGTGGCACCGAGTCTGCCCTGTCTGACTGCAGTCACAGAGGACGCGGTGAATCCTACTGTTCTCACAGTTTGGATGCTGGAGTGATATGTTCAGGTAACCGCTCAGCCCATTCCCCATGTTTTGGGGATGGGAAAGGGGAAAAGGGTGACACCTCTTAGGTCAGGGCACTGATAAGCTTGGTCTGTCACTGTTGTTGTCCCACATCCCAAGGCAAAGCCCAGTGGAGCCCAGCCCAGATACCCAAACCCAGACCTGTCCTTGAGCTGGAGAAGTCAACCCTGGAAAGGTGCCTGGGGCTGGGAGAGGAAAGCCCTCACCCTTCCCCACTGTGCTGCCTGGTTCCCATCTTTCTCTTCCATTCGCCCAGGCCCTGTCTGGCAGGCTGGTCCCTTGGCTGGGGGAATCTAGAGCAGCTCCCCCAGCCACCAGCAGCCTCAGGGAAGGGCATGCAATGGCCCAGGACTTCTGGGTTGTACCCCCAGCAGACAAGAGAACCTCAGCCATAGCAGAGGGGCTGCTCAGAGGGCAGGAGCACTGGGCTTGCACAGAGGAGCAGGGTGGCAAGTGGCACCTTGTTTCTGTCCTGGGGTCACCCTATGAGAGCCAGCCCCCAGGGACACGGCCCCTCCAGGCCGTGCTGACCCACTGCTCAGCCTCTGCTGCCTGCCCTGTGCCCCAGGGGCTGTGCCAGCACCTCCTGGCTCTCCTCTCTGCCTGCCCTCATACCGGGAGCTCTCTGCCTGCTCTCCTGCCCTCTGTCTGGCTGGTGGCTGGGGACGTGCATGCCTGGCACCACACTATCCCTCCCTGAGGACATCCCCCCCTTTACCTGCTCCCCAGATGTGCCCCATGTAACAGCAGCTCCCCAAGAGCCCCAGCAGCCCCTGGGAAAAAGGGGCTTTTTGGCAGCTCCAAGGATTTCTTCTAACTGGCCTGAGACCAGAACCTGGCCTGGGGCAGAGCAGGCTACAGCAGCCCCCAGTGCCTGGGCCCATTTCCGTGGGTCCACGTGCTGCAGGTGTTGCAGTGCTGGGTCTGGAGCCGGCCAGCCCAGGGGATCCAAGAAACAGTTTATCTGAGCAGTGACCGCTGCTGGGGGTTGGGAGAGAGGGCAGCCCATGGGTGCTGGGCTGGATTCTGAGGATCAGCAGGGGGGCTCTGATGTGTTTGTGCCACCAGCACCCACTGAGAGTTACTGGGCTGGCCATGGGGCTCTGCATGTGGTCACCTCAGGGATGAGGTGGGAGGTGGGCACGGAAGTGCCAGAGGACTCTGGGAACTCACAGCTCTCCTTGGTTGCTCCAGGATTTGTGCGGCTGGTCGGAGGGGACAGCCCCTGCTCAGGAATTCTGGAGGTCTACGACAGGGACCAGTGGAAAGCTGTCTGTCACTCCCACTTGGATGACAAAGCTGTTGAGGTGGTGTGCAGGGAGCTGCAGTGTGGCACAGCCCTGTCTGTCCATGGGGCAGCTCAGCTGGGAGAAGGGGCCGGTCCTGTCTGGGACAGAGAGCTGCAGTGTGTGGGGAATGAATCCACCATCCTCTTCTGCCCCTGGGGGACCTCCAAGGACAAGGCCTGCACCCACAGCAATGGCACTCATGTCACCTGCACACGTAAGGACTTGGGGTGGGATGATGGACAGTGGGGTTGTGGTGGTGGAAGGAGAGCACGGCAGGAACTTGGCTGTGCTGGGTGGGGGACAGGTGGGGTGAAGTGGTGGTCTGCAGCCCTAAAATGAGAGTGCTGCAGGAGGAGAAAGGCACGCTGTCCCTTTGGCCTCTCCTGCAGCTCCTGTGGGAGCAAGAACACAAATGTGGCCTCTCTCACCCTCCTTTGTCCCCAGAGTACACAGGGCTCAGGCTGGTGAACGGCAGCACAGCGTGTGAGGGCAGGGTGGAGGTCAACATGCTGGGGACATGGGGGACCCTCTGTGACTCCCGCTGGGACCTCTCGGACGCCCACGTTCTGTGTCGGCACCTCGGCTGTGGCTTTGCTGAGTCCATTCCTGGAGGAGGGCTTTTTGGGAGAGGAACCGGCCCCGTCTGGAGAGACTCGTTCCACTGTGACGGGACTGAAGCCCACCTGGGGCAGTGCCCGGTGACTGCCCTGGGGGCCTCGCCGTGCTCCCAGGAGAACGCTGCTGCTGTCATTTGCTCAGGTGAGTGCTGGGCATTGCTGCAAAGTCCATTTGCCCCTGGTGTGTGACACGGCCACACAAATTTGGGGAGCTCATGACAGAGCCTGGCTGAATGTCTGCTCTCACCAGGCCTAACTCAACCCATGCCCCTGCGGTTGGTGGGCGGAGGGAGCCGGTGCGACGGGCGCGTGGAGGTCTTCCAGCACGGGACGTGGGGCAGAGTCCTGGATGAGCAGTGGGACATGCAGGAGGCCAGCGTGGTGTGCCGGCAGCTGCAGTGCGGAGAGGCAGAGGCAGCCTACACCCCTGTGAGGGCCGAGCGAGGACGAGGACCTGTGGGGCTGCATGGGATGCGGTGTGCAGGCCACGAGGCTGACCTGAGCTTCTGCAACACCTCCCTGCCTGAGAGCACACCGGCAGCAGGGATCATGGAGGATGTGGGGGTCGTGTGCCGGGGTGAGTGGTGCTGCACGTCCCACAGTTGAAGGTCCAGGAGGGCAGCCAGCCCCTGACGGCCGGGGTTCTCCCCGCTGCAGGGAGCCGGTGGGTCCGGCTGGTGGACGGGGCCGGGCACTGTGCCGGGAGAGTGGAGATCTACTACCAGGGGCGCTGGGGCACCGTCTGCGATGACGCCTGGGACTTGGCGGACGCCGCCGTCGTTTGCCGCCAGCTGGGCTGCGGAGGGGCCCTGGAGGCAGCCGGCTCTGCTCGGTTTGGGGAGGGCTCCGGGCAGATCTGGCTGGATGGCGTCAACTGCTCCGGGACCGAAGCTGCTCTCTGGGACTGCCCTGCCGAGGCCTGGGGGCAGCACAACTGCGGGCACAAGGAGGACGCAGGAGTCGTCTGTTCAGGTCTGTGTTTGGAGTGTGTTTCTGGGAACTGGGGCCAGTAAGGCCAGGGTGAGGGTAGAGCCAGGTAGGGCCAAGGCCATCAGTGGCTGCCATCCAAGGACGTCCCTGGGGCCTTTCCTCCTTCCAGAGTTCATGGCCCTGAGGCTGGAGAACAGCGATGGCTGCTCCGGACGCCTGCAGGTTTTCTACAACGGGACGTGGGGCAGCGTTTGCTCCAACTCCATGACCACCGAGACGGTGTCACTGGTGTGCAAGGAGCTGGGCTGCGGGAATGAAGGGGAACTGGAAACAGATTCTAGCTATGCCAAGCTGTCTGGTACTGCATGGCTGGATCACGTGGAGTGTGGGAAGAGCAACAGCTCTTTCTGGCAGTGTCCCTCTGCTCCCTGGAATCCGCAGTCTTGTGATGACCTCCGAGAAGAGACCCACATCACCTGCAATGGTAAATCTGAGCCATCAAGACACCAGGTCCTGTTCCCCACTGGGTATGGTGAAATGTAGAGAAGAAACCCAGAGTGGCTTTGACTTCCTGCATTAGACCCTGTTGCTACTGGTACACAAAGGTGTCTTCAGCTCTTGGAGCCACCCATGTCCACCAGCAGCAGTCAACAGCCGGGCTGCCAGCAGCCCCTGGGGGATGCAGAGGCAACTCCAGGCAGGGTCTGAGAGACCTGGGACAGCCTCCTGCTGCTCTGTGAACCAGGGACCCTGTGGGGCCGAGCACTTGGGTCCCCCCTGCAGTACCGTGTGTGTCCCCTGAGTGAACAGGGTTCTGCTGCTGCCCTGACCCAGGGAGCATGGGGACGTGTGAGCAGAGGTCAGCCCTGCTCTGTTCTGCATGACCCGTAGATCAGCCCTTTTCAGACCAACTTCTCTTTCCTTTGGGACATGGACAGAAAGGCCGCAGGTGGCTGCATGCCCCAACTCCACCAGCTGCACAGGTAGGGAGCTGCCCCTGCACGTGCCCCCCTCACCTGGCAGGGCTCCCCCAGCTGTCCTGGTGCCATGGGACATCGCTGCCTCCCCAGACAGGGAGAAGATCCGCGCCGTGGGAGGCAAGGACGGCTGCTCGGGCAGAGTGGAGATCTGGCACCGCGGCACCTGGGGGACGCTGTGTGACAATGCCTGGGACATGCGGGATGCCGAGGTGGCGTGCAGGCAGCTGGGCTGTGGCTCTGCGGTCTACGTCCTGGGCCAGGCTGCTGCTGGAGAGGGGACGGGCCCCATGTGGCTGATGGAGTGCAGGGGGATGGAGCTGTCTCTGCAGGACTGCTGGGCCCAGCCAGGGGACAGCGGTGCCTGCCAGCATAAGGCAGATGCGGCTGTGCATTGCTCAGGTGAGCAGTGGGGCTGGGAGACACGCCTGGGGGCTTGGCAAGGAGCTGGCTTGGGTGTAGGTCCTGCTGCATCATGGCATGGCCCAAGTTCTTGCCCAAGCAAGGGTGTCCCTGCAGAGTGGGGGGCTGGTGGTGGGTGGGGAGCAGCCTCTGTGGGGCTGGATGTGCCAGCACATCCCCTGGGCTGCCTGCACTGTCCTGTGAGCAGCCCAGAACAGTGGTGCTGGGCCCTGCCCCTGCCGCCCTGCCCAGCCCCGCAGGAGGGACAATTCAGGTGGCACATGCTGGGGTCATTTGCCAGAGAGGCTGCCTGGTGCCACAGCCCCAGCCTCTTATCCCAGCTCTCCTTCTGCTCCCCTGCAGCTGCACCCAGGACAGCAACATTACCCCCACAAGCAGGTAAGCTGTCCTTCCCCTGGGGCTGGGTCTGAACATGGCCGAGCTGTGACGCACAGCCAGGGGAAGGGGCTCCTTGCTGGGCTGTGAAATTGAGGGAGTTGGGAGAAGTCTGTGATGGGGGGAGTTGGGGTGGGAGCAGGGTGGGAGCTACCCCATTACCCAGCCCTGTCGTCCCCAACCCCTGCTGCCTTGTGTGGTCAGGAGTGGCATGTCCTGCCCCCGACCTCTCCCATGCCTGATGCTGTCCCTGCCATGTTCCTGCCCATACAGATTCGCCACGGAGCCGTCTGACCACCAGCAGCGAGAGACTCTCGGTTCCTGTCGTCATCTGCATCATCCTGGGGGCCCTCCTCTGCCTGCTCCTGGCCCTCCTGGCTGGGCAGGTGCGAAGCGCCAGGGCTCGGCGCAGAGGTGGGTCCTTCCCCAGTGGTCCTGGGGGGGAGATGCCTCCTGGCAGGGCTGGGGGTGTTGGTGTCCTGGGGCACAGAAACAGAGCCGTGTGCTGCCTCCTGCCCCATGTGCTGCCCCACTGATTGACAGACCATGGGGCACCAACATCAGGGTGTGGAGAGAGCCCAGAGCCTGAGGCATCAGTTCTGGGGTGAGAAGAGAAATGTGAGAGCTGGGCTGGGTGAGACGGGGAGGATGCACTGCTGGAAGTGCTCTGGGCAGCACTGGCAGGAGGAACATGGGGCAGCGGAGTCCATCACCGTGGTGTCAGCCACCTCCCAACAGGACACGGGCTGTGCTATTGCTCTGTGGGGCAGAGATCGAGCAGCAAAAGTGGGTAGGAGAAATGAGGGAACTGGTGCAGGGTCTGCACTGGGACATGACCCAGGGAACAGAGGGGCACAAGGGCTGTCTCCAAAGGGATGGTGTGAGGCTGACTCTGTCCCAGACCATCTCCATGGGGATGCTGCCCTCCCTGGGGATGTGGCTGCAGTGCCAACACAACACAGAGGGGCTGTGCTGTGGGGACAGCCCTGTGCTGGCCTAGGGAATGGGGTGAGGGATCCCAGTGGGGTCCTCTCTGCCCATGCCCAGACCAGCCCTGCCTCTGTCCTCAGGTTCTGGGAGGGCTGGGGAGCCCTTCCCTGAGGCCGTGTACGAGGAGATCGCTTACAGCCTGGCGTGGGAGAAGCAGAATAGGTTCAGTCTCTCAGGTGGGTGCAGGTAACCTGCGGGGGCACATCTGCTGTGTCCATTCTCCCTGTCTCAGACCAGGGCTGTGCCCTGCAGCTCCTGCCCATGGTCCCTGAAATGGTTGGACCATGGGGTCTGTGGGAGAGCATCCAGGTGTTGGCCCCCACAGAGGAGCTTCCTCCACACCAGCTCTGCCCATCCCAGAGGGGACAGCCCCTCTCTGCTTGTCCCTGAACCAAGAACTAAGTGAAGGGCTTTCCCAGGGCAGCTGTTGGAGTCCCTCTGAGAATTGTCTCTTTCCCAGGAACTGGTCTCCTCCCCATGCACCCCCAGCTCTGTGGGTGCCCATCCCAGCAGTGCTGACCACCAGTCAGGGCAGCAGGGCTCATCCCACAGCACCCACTGCAGCTCTCTGCAGCCTCCTTTTCAGAGGGGTCCCTGACCCAGCTGCAGCCCTACCCCAGGCACATGAGGAGGAGGATGGTCTGGGGCCAGACCCAGGATAAGAGGTCGGGAGGGGGGAGAAGAAGGGGCTCCATATCTCCTCCCTGCAGACAGACCAGACAGACAGCAGTGCCACCTGAGTGTTATCATCAGAGCGGTGAACATGAATGCTCTGCTGTGACCCTGACACCAGCAGCATGTCTGCCCTGTGTCCCCACACACCCTCCCATCCTCTGCTCTGCAGAACATCTCTTCTCATTGCCACCACCTTCCCTCTCCTTTCAGATGTCCCTGTCCTGCCGGAGGTTACCCAGCAGATGGCTATGATGATGCTGGGGAGGTTTCTGACCCTGGGGAGGATCCTGTCCCTGGGCAGGGGGACTGGGAAGTGCCCAGGACACCAGAGGAAGGAGATGGGCGCAGGGATGCAGCCACAGGTGAGAGGGCAATGCAAGCACTGCCACTTCCTAGGTGCCAGCCCCAGGCCTAGGAGAATCCATGGCATATTGAAAGCCTGACCATCCATGGAGAACCTGTCCTGGGATATTTTGTGGGGGCTGGGAGAATGGGCCGAGTGTCTCAGGCTGGTGAGGACGAGGAAGGTGATAAACAGCCCCGAGGGGCACCCCACAGGCCCAACCACAGCAACCTGCCTTGATGCTTACAGGGGGAAGCCTGCACTCCCGGAGAAGTGCTGTGGTCCCTGGAGCTGAGGGAGACACCTCATCACCTTTCCTGGGGACCACGGGCTATGACGATGTTGAAGAGGTGTCTCTGGCATATCCCCATGAGGACACCGAGGATGTGACACCACAGCCCCATGCACAAGAGTTCCAGAGCCCCAGGCCAGCAGAGCCCAGCTCTGCTGAGCAGCTGGGTGCAGCCGGGAGGGAGGAGAGTTCAGTGCCACTGGGAGAGCCGTGAGTGCCAGGGAATGGTCTCCCTTTTCCAGCAGTCAGCAGACACACATGGGTATTTCCCCTCTTCGTATTCCCCTGTTTTTATGCTGTGTGTTGGTATTTCCTCATATTAAAACCCTCTTCCAGTCTTCCCTGCCCAGGTGTCAGGGTGTCTCCCTGAGGCGGATGGCGGGGAGAAGAGCTCAAAGATGCAGCAGTTGGGAAGGGGCACATCTTAGAGCCAGCAGGATCGGGGTCTGGCTTTGGGGCTGACAGAGCCCCTGGTCCCTGGACACTATTCCTACTGACAGAGACATTTCCGTCCTGCCAGCCACAGGCAGTTTCCAGACAAAGTGGATCTCTGGGAAGCCCCATGAGACACTCCCTTGCAGTGCCCACCTTCTGCTTCCTTGGGCCCCCACGGAGCCTAAGGATGCCTGCCCAGAACCTATGGGCAGAGATACTTCAGTTGCAAGAGGTGAACGTGGAGACGTCTTGGACCCTTGGGCAGGACTTGGCACCAGCTCCTGTTGGTGGGTCCCCACAGCCCTCCAGCTCTTCCCCAGCAGGCTCCTCTGCTGTAGGCTGGGAGGTGCTTTTGGTAGTGGGAGGTGGGCTGGAACACCTATTGGAGCATCTATTTAACCCCTTTGGGTCATCGCTCCTGGCTGTGTATAGTCTTCTCTGGGTGAAGAACTGTCTGGAGGGCCATGTCCAGCGGGTTGTGGTTAATGGAGTTAACCCCAGTTGGCGTCTGTTACAAGTGGCGTCGCCCAGG